TGTGGGGGGGGGGGTGAATTACTGGCAGGGGAGACTCTGAGGCAACTGGGTACAAGTCAGCGGTGTTATCCAGAGGCAGGGCGTCTGGGGAGACAGCTGGAGGATGTGACTGGTAACTCACCAGTTACTGGCAATCTACATTGCTGTTCCAGCAAGGGTGCACCGGGCAGGTACACAGGAAGGTTTGGGGCCGTCATGAGACTCCGTGAAAGAACTATAATACAATGATTCTATTCCAAATCACTGCTTTTAGGCATGCAAGGTAAACACAAGTGCCTTGGCTGTGCACTTGTTCACAAATACACTGACATTAATAAAACACCTCAGTAAATCCAGATCGACAAAAGGCCAGATGGGCAAAAAGGATTTCTGTTTGCCAGATATGAAAATATTTCACTCCTGAAGCTCACACCCAAACGCCATCACTATGAATAAAACAAGGCATCAAAATCAAATTATAGTATGCTATCATAAATGTTTATTCCCTCAATACCATAAAATCAAAATAGAGCCAAACCATATGGCACTTACAGTCTACAACTGACTGAAATGAATGGGGCTGTGCTGTTGTTGCTCAGCAGAACTAAAGGTTTGGCTAGACAATTGCAACTGATCAAGTTATTGTGTCTAATAAGTTAATTCAGCCACACAAAAGACTAGCTTAAAATATCTTCATTTTATTTTCTGTTGGCAATGGACTCTGGGCCTGCTTGCAGCCAGAGAATATAATTCAGTGAACGAGAACTGGCACAGTAAACTCAACTGCTTGAATGAATGTGTGTGCAAATAACAGGAGCGGGTTAAGGACTTGGTTTTCAGGAGAAAAAATGTTGGGCGCTAAGGAAGTTAGAGAGCTGGCAGGAAAAAAGTAAATGGAAATAGCAAAATAGAAGAACAAAGGAGAAGAACAGGGATGTATGTGGAAAAAGTAAAAAACAAAGGGAAATTATGGAGCAGACATAAAAACAGAGGAGAGATGCTCAGGAAGAAAATAGAAAAAAAAAAAAAAGGAGATTAGGTAGTCTCCTTGAGATGGTATGCTAACATAAAAAAAGCCTTACTGGAACTTAAAGCAGTCATCTTAGTTCAGCTCCCCTAGATAGCCTCATAAAACCAGCACGGCATACCCACAGATAAAGAAAACTACAAGTGCTGCTGCTATGTAGTCTGACTGTTTTCTTTCATTTGATGGAGTTCATGACATAGATTTTTTCCACCAGACTGGCCTGATTTGGGTGTTCTGCTGTTTGTTTGTTTACAAATACAGAAATGTGTCTGACATCTGTCTGCATGCTCTTAGCAGCTACATCATTGCAATCTCCGACACTTGCACACTGACTTTTATCGGAAGTTTCATTGAGTTTGTGTTTGTTAAAACACCCTTTAGCTTAACTCACTTAACACAACAACTAAATGACAAAATTACAGCTGATGAAAGCTATTTTAGCCCTTACATAACGTTTTACTAATTTTAACAAACAGGTCGAGTGGTATAAACCAGTGACGTTGGTAAAGAACAATGAACAGATTACGTAGTAGGTTATTTCTGGAAATGTCTAGATTTCTAGAAATATAGATGCAATCACAATAAGATCAGAGTGCAGCTGTGCAGAGAGGAGGCAACCCTTTTTTCACCTCTTCAGCTCGTAGGTCGTCAAGCCAAAATTGGTCCAATACCAGTTGGAGAAGTGATGCGGTTGCTCTGCTTTATAGCAGCTGGAACAGAAACCTGCAGAATGGCCCACAAGATGGGGACTGAGAAAGTATGTTGTATTAACTAATCCCTTTAGCCCTTGGGACAGCTACCTGCTGACCCCAGCATGTATCCTGCCTCAGGTACAATTTTCTTGTAATGCAATTTTTAGGGATACCTGGTGCCACTGCAGAAATCACAATTAATTTGGGGGGGAGGAGGGGGAGAAATTACTAGATCAAAGCCTTAAGTGAAAACTTTGCAAAGACATAAGTTGTTCTCTGAGCAGCAAAATTATTAACTTTATGGATTTGTCTCTGACCCTTTATCTCTACCCACTGCAGGAATCCCACCTCCTTCCCATGTCCTCTTAGCACTCCTCCAGGCCAGAGAGGAGTGCTGAGGTGGGGCTAGAGCTGTACGTGTGCTGACAGCCAGCTGGCCCAAAGGGACAGGACCTCAGCCAAGCTCTGTGCGTCTTTCCTGCAGTCAGAGTCTTAGCAGAGGTCTCTTCTCTCTACCCTTCTGCCAATGTTTATGATATGGGTAAGATTTAGGACTTTTAAGCTCTTGAAAATGTGATTGCATCTAGCTGGTGGGTTCTGAATTCTGCTGAAACATCTTTTTAATCTTAGTTCTGCTTTAATATTGGTTTCTGTGTGTGAATATGTGAAAAACGATGTGTGTGAATTTGGCAGCATACTACCTATAGGATTTATCTGCTAAAAGATGTCCCCAAATCTTCTGGATTTCCTAAAATATGTCAATGTTTCAATTACAAACTTTAATAACTGAAAAAAGATTTTACTGAACTGTTTCTAAGAAAAGTTCAGACTTAAATTCTCAGCCAATTGTTAACTGTTAATAGTTTTACAGAAATGATTGCAAAATACATTAGCTATCTTACATTTTCTTTCAAATTTCTGAGTTAGTGCAAGCACACGACTTTTTTCTAGCAGGCAAAAAACAAACTTTATGCTGTAGAATCATGCACGTGGTCTTTGGAATAATGTTCTCCTGACCTCAAGATTACTAAGAAATACGTATTTTAAATACTGATAATCTTTAGAGCAAATGTTTTTACAGCAATGAAAGGCTGACCAGAATGACAAACCAATGGGGCTTAATAAGAAATAAACAGCAACTATTCATAGCTGTTTCAAAAAGGCAAGAACTTTGCAGATGTTGTTAGGTCAAGTTATATAAAAAGAAATTTTATAACAAGCAGAATGCGTGTGTTAAAGTCAAGGGAAGTCTTCACATACACATGTGTTTCCCATAGCTAAGTAACTTTATTCCCCAGTGGTATGGTTTCATTCTGATACATACTCCCTTTTATCTCTAACTATTGCAGTAAACACCCTTTGGTGGTGGGATTGCTGGAGTGTACAGTGAGAACTTGGAGAGACAACATTCACAAAGCAGGAAACTAAAGTTAAAGTAAAGTTAAATACATTCTTAAAACATTCCTGATCTATATTCATGTGAGGTATGCCCAGTGCCTAGCAAAAGCAGCCTTGGGGACCTGCGTGAAGGCTGGCACAGCGGTGTTTGCCACACTGCCTGGATTTTAGGCAGGGCAAAACATTGTTGTGACATATCCTTCAGTGCCCTCAGCCTTGGATCTTGCAAACAGTTCCTCAGAAGGAAGATGTACTACAGCTCCAGCTGGCAAGGATTCTTGCTCATCTGGAAAAGAAATGTTGTGAGCCCTGTCTAAAGCTGAACCCCATTTCCAAGGCTTGGTCTCTAATGGTGGGACGGTAGGCAAAACTTGCAATGTAACCTGTAGTTATGTCAGTGGTAGAGCCATGATGAGTTTTTAAAATGCTAGTGAGTCAATAGTGATTTTCATTTGAAAACTCTGAATATAGAGCAAGTCCACTGAAGTTCAGAACACCAGAACCTGCTCTCTGGCTTGAAGCCCTGTCCACGCTCCATCAAACCGCAATGTTTCATTTATTCTAAATAAATAATCTGTCTCCTTTATAGCTGCATAAAATGTCTCACAGTGTCTCTGCCTTGCATTGTTAAAGTAGATTGCTAAAGAACAAGGGAAAGGGATTGATACCTGCTGCATGGGACACTGAAAGGCAAAATTAATTGTAACCCAGGTACAACATTGCACTGCTGCAACTTTTGTGGCTGGCCTGAACCAGTCTCTCTATATATCATTGCATCGCACAATATAAACATGTCTATATTTTCACTCACTGTAATACAGAAATTTTGGAATAGGGTCATACCAGAAAGAATAATTTATATCCAATGTGTGGATGTAATGGTATTAAATTAGGGATGTGATCAATGGTACAGAGTCTAGCTGGAGGCTTGTATCCAGCGATGTCCCCCAGGGGTCAATACTGAGTCCAGTATCATTTAACTTATTCATCAATGACCTGGATGAAAGGACAGAGTGCATCCTCAGCAAGTGAACTAGGAGGAGTGGCTGATACACCAAAGGGCTGTGCTGTCATTCAGAGGGCATGCTGAAGAAATGGGCAGAGAGGAACCTCATGAAATTCAACAGAGGCAAGTGCAGGGTCCTCCACCTGGGGAGGAATAACCCCAGGCACCAGTACAGGCTGGGGGCTGAGCTGCTGGAAAGCAGCTCTGCCGAGGAGGACCTGGGAGTCCTGATGGACAACAAGTCGACCATGGGCCAGCAATGTGCCCTTGCAGCCAAGAAGGCCAATGGGATCCTGGGCTGCGTTAGGAAAAGAGTTGCCAGCAGGTCGAGGGAGGGGATCCTGCCCCTCTCCTCAGCCCTGG